TAATATAATACGACGACGCTGAAATGAAAGTAGTTTGCTGCATGGAAAGCAGATTATATCTTCTAAGCGTTTATACAAGGTCATAGAATAGACTGTATCCGCGGATGTTCCCGCACATCATGAGATTTTTCCCAATCAACCGGAATTTCACAATCAAATTACTGACCTGGCAACAGTGGACAGTGTAGCCAATGGAGGGGTGTCGATTGACCTACCGTCCTGCATTGCATAGTGGAGGCCACAGTGCCTAAAGCAGAGTCTCCGGCTCCGACAGACCGCCAAACATTTTCGGAGACCGCTTCAACAATGTCTGACCAGTCTTGTGTTTAACCATTCTGCTTCGAATGGCTTTTTGGACGTATTCATTGCTTGCCAGAACCAGAGATCTTTTCAAACTAAAGTCGTTCAGTCCGAGATTGGCCAAAAGGGATTCAACAACCGAAAAATGTTCCCCCTTGACCGTCAACATCAATGGATCCTCGGTCCGCAAATTTCTGCAATTGACATCAATTCCATCATGCGCTAATAGTACCTGGACCATTTCCAAGTTACCAACACGGGAGGTGATGCAGAGAGCAGTGTCGTGAGCTGCAATCGTGCTTTCATTGATGTTTAGACGTGCACTTTGCTATACGAAGAGTCGTACCACATCGAGATAACCGTGTACAACCGCTTGACAAAGTTGCGGATCTATGGAGCCCTTTCCATTGATCTCTACATTTTCCACACTCAATAGACAAGAAACCGTGTTCACAAGTCCGTGATACGCGGCCACGGAAATTAGAGTCTGGCCTGCAACGCAGAGATTCAGAGCGATCCCCGGTATTGCAAGTAGCCGTTGTAGGAGTACGGTGTCCAATCTGATTGAGGCGTGATGGAGAGACGTAGACGGCGTCTCGAATCTTCCGCGGCCGCCAACCAACAAAATTCACGTTGATGTCTTTCTCCGCCAACAGCCTGTCGGTCATCTCGTCGCATGACAAGTAAGTCGACAGCCACAGTGGCGTATTGCCATTCTTGTCTTTGCAGTTCACGTTAGCACGGGGGTGACTGAGGAGATATTAACCATCTCCAGGCGTCTGCTTTGAATGGCAAGATGGAGCGGCGTAAAGCCTTGCCGGTCCTAGAGTTCCAGATTCAGACCCTTGTGTCTAAAAAGCTGTTTGACAACACCTACCGACCCATAGGACACTGCTTGGTGAAGAGGTAGCTCAGGATCCTGTGAAGATTGATTAGCAAGACATGCCTCAGACTACGGATCGTTTGAAAAGATTAATTCCATCACGGGCCGATTGAAGCGACGCGCGAAGTCCCATGGCGAATGGCCTGAATCATCCCGTACAAAAGGGTCGCTGCCATTCGAAAGTAGCAAATACACGATCCCTATTCTGCCTATCAAGACTGCTAGGTGGAGCGCCGTTCGGCCGTGTTTGTGCTTGACGTCCACTCTGACATTGGGTTGTTCTAGAACGCGCTTGACGATAGAAAAGGTTCCATATTGGAGAGCATACAACAAGGCGTTCTCCCGTGCGTGATTTTGAATGTTGATGTCTAGGTTATGGCGATTGAGGAGGAAGTCTCGCACAGCGGTAGAAGAGTACTAGAACGCCAGCATCAAAGAAGTTTTGCCGCGATAGAATGTATTGATGTTAGCGTTGTATCGGACCAAAGCCTTGAAAAGATGAACATTGTCGTCTTTGGTGGCCAGATACAACAGATTGCTGTTCTGAAATTTGACATTGTATTTCCAGATGCTGGGCTGCAGTCTGAAATTGAGGTCTATGCATGAGTTTGCGAGCGAGAATAATGCACTGCCATCCATATGCGACACAATCCATAGCAAAAGCTCGTTGGGCAGGTCTCTGACATTTGGCTGTAATGTATTAGCTTATCAGTAGATCCAGGAAGAACGAATTGAGACAGACCATGATTGGACAGATTGAAGCTAGGAAGCATAGGAACTGTAGAGAAGGGTGTAGTGAGAGACTTGAACACTGGATATAGCAGGCCTCTTTATACTTACCTCTATTATCACCTAGGAGTGAAGCCTCATACTCCGCCGAGAGGTGTGTAGCAATCACACGGCATCATCAAAGCCTTGACAACAATATTCAGGTGGGGTCTCTAGAGTCTAGCTCCCGGGAACGCCAAATGTGTTCCTGGCAGTCAACGGCCCCGGGAGACCGAATCTATCTACGTACCCACATCTTGCGTCTAGCGCCATAAAAATAAATCACAACCTATCACGCACTCCGAAATTCCATAGGCAACCTAGAATTGAACTCAGCATTTGTCGACTATGCTGCCTACCGCAGTAGCCACTCCTTGTGCCAATGCATGGTCATCGCAATCTACAGCCACAAGTGCAGCTGATTTGCGCAGCAGTGATCTGGAATGACATGCCTTCTCGCAGGCTACTAATCGGCCATTTACCGACGCATACTACATGCGAATGCATTTCTCGCCGTATAGACTGTTTCAAGGAAGGCGTTGCATGCCAGCAGCCACGCAGACATGCAGGGCAAGAGTCTATGGAGATGGTATATAAGCTGACGAGGGGACGCTACAGAGATTGCCCAACACCACCAACAATTCGAAGCATTTTCTCCCTTTGAAGACCACCGCAATGTCTACCATGCCTTGGAACCCATTTTCTGCCTGCGGGATCCCTCACAGTGGTCCTGGCTCCTGTTACGGCATGACGAAAAAAGGCGAGCCGTGCAAGAACTCGATCAAAGTTGTAGACACCAAGATAGGGCATCAAAAGTTGACCACTCTCGCGAGAGAGCCGTTTGACCTGTCAAATTTGCAATCGAAGCTCTATGGTGTTGCCAAAGAATTCCTCTGCGTGAGATGGCATCGACAACGCCAGGCCGAGCAACTTGGTCAGCAGTGGTATGAAGCAGCCGTCCGCAACCAGGCGTAAGTACCACATGGCTCCAGAATGGCCTATCCATCAGTTATTGTACATCCGGACCAGCGTCAGACATCGTCCGCCTCCAGGCTACGCCCTAAATCAGGCATCACTAATTGGTCACCTCCGCACGGCCTCAGACAAGGCCCGCCGGTGCGGCTGTCAACCAACCCCGAGCCAGTGGAGTCATTCAATCCATTTGTGACTTCCACGATGCTGCAGAGGAACAGTGTTCCATGGCGCGTTTCGCCGGCCCAACCGGCTATTCTGGCGTCGGTCGCTAATATCTAGGCTGGTCTCCAAGAATTGACGCTCCAGAGTCTCACCCCGAGTGAAGAGGTCGACAGCATCTACTGTGCGTTCTGCCTAGCCGAGGATGAAGAACATGCGAACGAGTCCGTGATCTTGTATTGTCCACAATGCCAAACGCTTTCTCATCTATCCTGCGCGGAAGAGTGGTTGGACAAGCGAGATACGGGCTTTGGCACGTCATGCTGTGTGTGGTAAGTGTGGATGATCTTGTTTCTGCGACGACCAGGATACTGATGACTACAGTCGAAACGAAGGAGCCTTAGACGCCTTGATCCGCCCTTTGCCAGCCCCCTATTCTAATGCCGAGACACATTTTGTCAACACGGCCAGCCAATCGTCGCCCAATGGAGGACTTGCAGCCGTCAGAGTGTTTTCAGCGTACGATCCTCAGAGTCAGTCGCGTCAGCGGTCGCAGGGATTGCCGGCACCAGTCGAGCGAAGTGGTCTCCGTCGCTCCGCCAGAATATCAGGGGCCCATCCACCACGAGCCACGTCTACTACACCGCTCCGTCGTTCGGCCCGACTGACTTCGACTCGGTAGGAGACAAAAGCAAAGTATAGCGTTAGGGGGATTTAGCAAAATGGGTCTCAATCCCATCCGGTAATGCTTGATTAGAGGCTCGGCATTGCAGTCAGCAACGGGCATCATACCTGTGGTTGATTTTTGGAAAAAACTTAGTAGAAAATGCAATTTTGATTTTTCGACTCAAGAATAGAGTAAAACGCAACCGACCTTACCATTACATCGTAATCAAAGGCTACAAACTGCTTCGCGTATAACGAAATGACTAAGCGGTGAGCTGAGCTGTGCTGGCAGGCTGTTCTGTCGACCAAAGGGAGCCGCAATGTTTAGCGCGCCCGAAGAATATCCAGCCTGACGATCGTAAGGGACTTAACAACCTTACTAAGCTGATCCCCCATCCATTTTGCACTTCCATAGTATAGAAAATCGCACCCTGCAGTACTCGATTGGCTATGCCCGTACTAGAGTGTACTATAACAACCACGTTACGAAATGCTTTTGCATCGGAACTGCGCGATGAAAGACAGATACATCTAAGAATTGCGTCCGGACGGAGATTGTTGGCAGAAAACTCCTTTCAAGCTGGCAAGAGACTAGGTAGGCACATCTTAATTGAGGCCTATTGAAACCCATCTCTACTATTTACTGCAAGTATTCGAAGCGAAATTGGTGTACTGTACATTCGCTTTACATATGCCATTCTGAGCTCTGATATCTATATACTGGGCGTCGTTCTATGATTTATGGGCTACAAGTAAGGAGCCAAGGGCAGACGCAGATATATATCATTGATATCTTGCTGAGACTACGTCAACCAGGTCGGCGGAGCGCTCTCAGCACCGCTTGGCTGTCTTCAAAGATGACTAGTCCATTCTTTGCCTGTGCGACCCAGGGTTCTGTACTGTTTATGACTGACTCCAGCGCCAGTTCGATGGAGTGTAGCTCTGCGGCGTACACGGTCATTGTTTTATCGTCGCCCATCTGTCTGTGTGTCATATAGTCTTCAAAGTCGATTACAGCCGCTGCGCCCATTCTCCCGTCGATCCCGCTGCCGTCGGTGTAAATTATCAAAGGTCTCTCGTTTGATATTTTCATCACGATTTGCTCATGAAACGCTACTGCTGTCTCTCTGTCTTCGATGATCACCTCCGGTGGCGCTTGCCATGGTGCCAGGACGAATACCTTTCGACTCTCCTCGTAGGTCGTCATAGTCGCCGGGGGAGCCGTCAGACATCCGCCTATCTTCCAGGCTTACGCCTCCATCGGTGTCCATCTAGCCCAGTCTTTTCCGTGTACCGCTCGGTGTCGCACCATAGTTGGCAGTATGCCGAGTTCTGGTCCTGTTCGTAGTCGAAGAGCCGCCTCTTTCACCAGTCGATTCATGTAAATCGAGATAGATGGTAGGTAAAGCTCCGCATTCAGTGCCTCCGCCGCTGTGGTTCTGAAAACTCCACTGATGAGACCGGCTGCTTGCTTTTGGATGGTCGCAAAAGGCTGACAGATTGCCTGAGCCTTGGATTTGCTAACGTGCATAGGCTGATACCATGCGGAGATCCCAAAAAGCATCTGTGGTATGATCACTGCTTGATAGATTCTGCGTATGGCATATAGCGAGGCTCCCCATGTTGAACCTGCTAAACTTGGTAGTGCTCTGAAAAGCGATACAATCGCTTCATTTTACCGATATTGAGGAGGGATTGATTGAAGAATGGCTGCTGGATATGAATTCCAGAGGGGCGGCTCTTACTTTGCCTATGTTGTGAGATATGGCCAATCTTCCACTGTATCCCCGAAAAACTACACCCTCTACTGTGGGTAATCATTGGCCTGCTTACAGCCGAGGAGCGGTTTCAAATTTGATGCGGAGCGGAGTCAACACTATCGACAAGGAAGATTTCCTTGAATTAATCGCAGATGTGAGAATGGGTGCTTTCAAGACTTCCACTATTCAGAATAGCTTTGGGCTATTGGATAGCACCATTTGATGCTGATAAAGTCTTCTAAAAGCTAAACGTGCACTTGGATTCTCTTTCTGCTCTGGAGATCCTCTCCCAGCGACCACTCTCTTCCGGCAGCGATAGTGATCCAAACTATCTCTGGAACCTCTCAAACCTCACAAAATCACAATCTCCGATCCAAAAAGGTCTACAATCTTCGTCTGAAATCCTTTTCTTACCAACAAAAAGGGAGACCAATAAGATACGAGATGAATATAAAAGTGGTCCACCAGCACATTTTTCTCCAGAATCGCTGTACTCAATTGGAGGCTACCAACAAGAAACAGACCAAAAAGCGAGGGACCAAACACAAGTTTAGTACTCAGAAAGGTATCTTTGGGGGTCTAGAGGGTGGTGAGGATGATGTGGTTGTTGGGGATGAAGATAGAAGCAAAGGTCTTACAGATTCTCAATGCCCTACACGTGTTCAATAGCTAGATTAATGTTATCATCATGGGTTTAACAGTGATTAAAATTTGAAGATTTCCTCAATTTTGGTGGGGTCGCTCGCGCGACCGTGGATCACATCAACTAAGCAACCGAGATGGCGAAAAAAGAAATATAAGGTTCAACAGTCTTGATATCTCCATATGATCTCAATAACCCCCTAATCCTAAACCCAAAGAATCTTCGGGAATAATTTTCTCGGGAATATTGCCACTTTTATTTCCGAGATGTGTCAAGGATTCCCTTGGGCCACCTCTGGCACGCCAACAAGTCTGGTTCGAGGCCATGTGTGGGTCATGTTGTGAGGGGAGATGAGGGGTATGTCTCTACTTTTTTTGGAGAAGATCCTGAGCTTCCACCGTGTCGTGAAACAATATCGAAGTGTTGCGCGCATCAATCGGCCAATCGCACGGGACACCCCGGAACTGACTCTTGGAATACAAAAGAGCCATTGACAGAGCCCTCAAGAAAAACTGTCTTGTGCACATTTCGTGATACTCCGTACCATCACCAAGCTTGGGTTCAGCTCCGGTGTGGGGGCAGATTGCGTTGAGAAAAAAAATTTCCGCGTCCAACCGAGCCGCCCGCACATATTCACGTTGGGAGACAAAGCGGGAAAGGGAATGAATGTGCTTTGTTCCCGGTTTCAATACCGCCTCTTGCGCCAGACTGGTATTCCCGCGCAATGATGCAGTGACGCAGTAGCCCTGACATAGCGTTTGGAGGACCGCAAGAACCGCGAGGACCGATGCGTTAATCCCCGACGTCCGGTGTTTGGCAGCGTCTCAGAAAGCAACTGGCCCGTCAAAGCTTGGTCTGAGGCTCATGGTCCCGATCTATTGATCTGCAACAGTCTGTCTCAATTGAGTTAGGACTCAGGGGTCTTTTCGGGGAAATGTTCTTCAATGAAATGCATTTGGCGCGCAACGGCGCAGCACACAGGTGATAGAGAGCTGGGAGATGAGGAAGTGTAGTCGATGTTAGGGTGAAGATGAAGAGACTAGCGAATTAGACGAGACTGATGGTCAGAGGGCGCCGATCCTCTAGCGCCTTGTGCTGAACTACAAATAGGACAGCGTGTACTCCGTAAGTACTATACTGAAGCCGAAATGATGGGTTTAACCAAAATTATGGATTGTGTACTTTGATTGATTAAAAGTGAAATACCGTCTATTTGTGCTCGCTCAAAGAGACTACTATTACCAGTGTGTTATACCGAAAACGACGGATTAATTGAGAGAGGACTTGTCAAATACATGATACCTCCAAGGTGATAGGACTGATCCAAATTGTGGCTGATTTCTCACACGATTCCCCAGCCTTTCACGGGCCACGGGCGTACATAAAATTCGCGTTATTATCTTTGATGAAGGTGCCGTATTCATTGTACTCGTCCCAATTGAACGCCCAGACGTTGCCTGAGCCCAGTGTACTCTCCGCCTGACATATTCATCAGCTCAATACATATCAGACGCATGTGTTTCACCTCATACCTCATCAAAATCGATATCGGCCTCGTAAATATGATAATCGCGGGACCAAGTGTCGACAAGGCCTCGGTAAATACCCCACCGAATATTCTTTCGACGCCAAAACTCTGTAGGTTCTCCGCCGTCACCGTAGGCCCAATAAAATTTGTGGTCGTTCAAATAGAGAATTACCCATTTTCCTAAGGCATCATATATAGGACGACTGTCCCAAGCCGAGGAAGATGGGCCGTCGACAAATTTCATATTGTCAGGATGTACTTCGGACAAGTTTCAGTGTAGGCTGTTTAATGGCTGTCGGCAAGACGCAGGTTGTTCAGGAAGGGTGAGAGGAGAATGGGAGTTTTCTATTTCTCACAGTGTCTGACTGAATTTATAGGCCTTCATGTAGTAACCACATGATCTGCGATCCATGATGCACCAAGTGGACTATCATCTCGCTAGGACCGATGGCGTGTTCGAGTCTCAGCTCGCTACCGCAACACTCGGAAGGTTGTGGAGGGGGATCGGCAATCTTCAGCTCGTGCGCGAACTTTGAATCCTGGAACCGGCAAACAAAGAAACCATATCCATGGATCTTCAACTATTAATCCTGAAGAATACACTCTTATTATCTTCCAAGGTTGATCTATAAAATTGCATCGACATTTTCTCTTGTTATGGCCGAGACTAGTAAAATCTCGATTCTGTCAAAAATGGTCTTCAGCTGCAGACATGGAGCGATAATCCACTCATGCTCTACTAGCCGCATGTACTAAAGTGACATATAGCCAATAAAATGAGCGAGGTGACTAGAATGGAACCCGAGGACGTGAGTGTTCCTCAGGGAGCCCGCTTTCTTTCGCTAATCGCTCAGCTACAGCCAAGCCACCTTGACCCCTCCTAGGCATGATGTTGACCCGTGTGGTCTTTTATCTTCTTGTTTAAACTTGCTTTTCGGCGCTTAGAAAATCGACAGTGATAGAGTAGAGACTACGAAGCCTAAGCCGAAGAACAGGCACAAAATCAATGTAGAAAAATGCGTGAGAAGAAGAAGAAGAGAAGAAGAGAAGAGAAGAGAGACTTGGTACGAACCATGAAGTGGGGCCAGGCCATGTGGCACCAATGCAACAACCTTGGAACCTTTTTCCCCGGGGCCATCTTTATTTCGAGCTATGCAGACTGTACTCTGTAGGCAACTTTTCGTTTAAACAAGACTCGGGTATGTTGGTTCAACACTAAACCCTAGCTACATGGGCTACAAGTTTCCAAGTGTTTTCAGGTAGATGCAATATGTTCTCCCTATTCATTAACATGAACAATTTAGCCAAGCTCACGCACGGCAGTCAGCTTGTTCGCATAAAAAGGCACACCTGTAACCTGGGATGACTAGGTGATTGGCGAATCCAGCAAGTTATATATACACAAAGGGCTGGAACCATCCAACAACCAGACAAAAAATATCCACAACTCCATCAAATGAACAATATATGCTTGAAGAGCGGAATGAAGAGCTCAATCTTCATGCGGGCTGAGACGCGCCCTCTCCTCAGCGAGCCCGGACTCCATGCCCAGACGCTGATATAGACGGACGCGCCACCCGCGAATGACCAGGTAGCTCGCGACGACACCGCAGAAGACACAAAGCAGGAGGATGAAAGAGAAAGCAGCGCCAATACTACGGATGGTCTCGTAGGTATCGTTCATGGCCGAGATGGTCTTTTGAGTTTGGGTATCGATGGCTGCTCATGAAGCGCGACCACCCTGGTCGGCCATGAAGTCGCCAACAGTATCGGCTTCTTGGTAGATGGTGGATGGTTTGATGGGCAACGGATTGCTATGGCCTTTTTATCCAGTGGACTTCCAGTCGGGAGCAGTGCTGCGCTGGACTTCAGATGTGCCGAGCACGGTGCCGTTGACATCGACTGCTTTGGTAGTCACTCAGTTCAAGTATCCGGCGCCAATGAACATGGTTTCGAAATCTACGCGGGGAGTCTTGCCGACGAAGACGGGTGCGTGGAAATCAGAGGCCTGGGCATAGAAATGCCATTCCGCGACGTCCGTGGCTCCGTTCCAGCTGACCCAGAATTTGGTTACCATGTTGGTCTCTTCGGTGCCGTAGACGGAGGCGACCATGTCGGGCGGTGCGCTTGGGCGCCCTGTGAACTCGAATTTGTAGGCGCGGTAGGAAGAGTAGCGCGGGGAGGTGAAGTGGGCTTCCATCACAACCTCTCCTTCAGAAGTGTGCTCGGCGATGTAGCCTCCTTAGCTCCAGCAGGTGAAGACGTGGTCGTTGGGGAGGAGCTGGGTGTTGCCGAGAAGTCTCGATAGTTCGCGGTCGAGACGGTTGTAGCGGCGAATGGCGCGGGCAGTGAAAGACACGACGCTGGTGTCCAACTCGACGAAGAGAGACGAAGATACATTCTCCTCGTTGAATTCCTCGTCTGACGCGTTGTTCAGGAAAGAGACGATGTGGTGCGTGCCATTGGATTCCACAAACTTCGCATCGTGCTGCTTCGAGAATACGAAATCTTGTTGGAAATCGGTATACTTCCCGCCAAGTCGCCATATGATGTTCCCATCGATGCCGGAAATTAGAAAGATGGTAATGGTGAATCGCGCGAAGATTAAGTCATCACCAATCTCGTTCTTATCAACCGAGTTGATGTGCACATAATCCCAACCTGGGTGTCCCTCCACCGGCGAACTTGGGGAGTAATGGGCACCCTCGGGGAGAGGAATGCGGTTATAGGAGTCCCACCACTAAATGATCTCGGCGGTGTTGATATCAAGCTCAGCAAAGCCACCACTTTCCAACCAAATAGTTTCCGCAGGCCGACCAAAGTCTTGCAGGATGATTTCATGAGAAAGGTAGACCGTGACCAGCGCAGTTTTACCATCCTCACGAATCTTGAATTCGTGAATATCGAAAATCCCCAAATCACGTCGCAGAGGCAACTTGCGCTGCACCTTATAATCATTCGTCAAGATCATGCCGTACCCCGATTCCACAGCGCCATCAGAAACATGATTCAGAATAAACGAGAGTTGAGGCTCGGAGGACAAGCTTTTCACAACTTTGAAATCGAAAGCATTCCGATTATCGAACTCCTGAGCCCCGCTCCAAATCAAGCGCTAATCCGCACAGTCAGCTGAGATATATCGCAGGATGTGTCGCGGGGAAAGGGAAAACGCACACCGCCCCCATCGTAGATATGGGGGCCAATCTTGTACTGCTCATATAGTCTCGAAGGCGCATTGGGCTCGATGTGAAGGTAAGGAGTGACGAACCAGTAGCCCGGACTGATGTGATCGCGATTGTGGTTGTGGACGTTGAATTTGACGGCCCTGACGTCGGGGAGCTGAACATGTTGTTACAGTACCCATTGAACAGCCTAGCTTGGAGTTTCCCCAGAATCAAGAGTGTGAAGTTCGTCCTCAGGGCTCGACATACCAATAACATACCATCCAAAGCAGAAATCATGGTCACTTTTCTCAACCTATGAGTTGCTCAATGGATCCAGGTTCCAGCCATTGCGGATGGCGTCCTGTTTTCTGCTGGCTTCGATACCTGCCAATTTCGGGTTCTGTCCCTGGCCACCCTCACATTGTGCCTAATGCGTTCGGAACCCCCTTGCTAGCCTCACCGAATACCAATGACTCCTGGCTAGAGCAGCTTGGAGGGCAGCACATTTGCCGGAATATGCAGGCTGTAGAAGCGTGCCAAGTGATCCCACAGACACTTAATCCAATCTCCACACAAGATCTCTCCAACCTTGATCAGGGAGGTTTACAACCCAGCACCCGACGGCGGCATTTCAATTGCGCGGTTTCGGGATGCAAGCGCCAATTCAAACTCCAAAAAGGTTTGAACCGTCACTTGAAAAATCATTCAGGGGCGAAACCTCATGTCTGCTAGGTCCCTGGGTGCCAACGCAGGTTTTCGCGACGCGACGCCCTGAATGCCCACTATCAAACGCACGGCAAACGCGGGGGCCGCAATCGGTATGTGGCTACTCTAGATAAGACAGGAACTTTCTATAACCCTGATTTCTGCGGGCAGCTAAGCCCTGAAGGGTGGCCACTTGGCTACGCTGGCTATGAGTGACTCTGGCGCTCGAGATGAACGGTGGCACCAGGTTTCAACTGTTCAACTTGATTCTATTAAAAGGACAATAACTGGCGTAGAGTAGTAAAAATGCAAATGCACGTCATCTCCATTATCTTGTTCTATGAATCTATTTCCCGTTTCAAATGCATGTTGCCCTTTGAGTTTCTAGGAACCGATTCGATCAAGCGCTAGCTGAGGACCTCGAAAGAACTAGCAACAGTAGACTGTAGCCCACAGATCGGTTCGAGGTCAGGGTCAAAATAGTGCACGGTGTAGTCAAAAAGGATGAGGATTGTATAATTTGAGTTAATTTGGGTCCGAGTCAGCGACTTGGCCGGCGGCGTGCATCCCTACTATTTTTGATGTCACTGTCACATAGTCAAGCAATTCCTATGGTTTCCACCCTATCCTATAATGCCATTATTGCTCTTTCACATCTCAGTGCAGGGTGAGATAGAATATACCGTGAGGATAAATTTAGTGCCATTGTTTGAGGCTATTCTTTGCCTGCCCGGCTCGGGATGTCTTTGCGAGAGCCTATCTTGTATATATATCTCACATCTCTAGTACAAACAAGCGACACGTGCTGAATGAACCAAATCCGAGGAATTCACGTAATAGTGGTCATGACTAAAGCAGATTTTGCACGGTCAATGTGGGCTCAGCGTAGTCCGCCAGTCGATCCAGATCTACCTCCGAATGAGCCTAGCAAGATCAGTGTATTTATCCGATCCGATATCTTTCACCGCCTGTGGCCATGGACACCTTCCATGATTTTCTGCCGAATCCACTTTCTGTGATTGGCACTCTGGCCCCCAACCGCCGACTCATCGCCTTGCTAGGATTGTCTGGTTTCGACCAATGTTTCTCCTGAGAGCCGCGCGGACTGTTTAGAAACTGCATATGCAACAGGGATGGGGGCCGGCGTCCAAGTGGGCTCCAAACCTAACCAGCACTGCAAGATTCTGCTCGCCTTGAGGCCGTCATCCTGTCTGATTTTGCATGGTCGAAAGGGTCATCGCCAGTCCACCACTTGCCAGAGGGTTCAAGGTCCAGGTCAATCAACCGAAAAGCATTTGTGGGATGAACGACACGGCGTACTGCTGCGCGTAATGGGTTGCTTGCGCATACTAAGACCAGTCAGCGTTGGCATAATCCAAAGGGTATAAACAGTCACACCAGAAATCGTAGGTTTTCCACCTCTACCGTCCATAAAACGTGCCAGCTCCTTTTCGATATCAATGGGATGGAAACGGTACTTTAAGCGCGTTCGGTTGCGGTAACGAATTTGGTCCGCGGGCTGCGTGCCTAGAATATGCGTAGTAAATTGCAGGATCTATATTAGGTCAGGCCGATATATTGTCAAAAACTCAGCAGAAAGGAATTTACTCACATCAAATCCCCGGTTATCTCGATGTTTATGCTCGGGACAATCGTCTCGGTCAAACATACGGTTAACCTCGAGGATTTGCGAGATTTCATCCCCCACCCAATGGGGATGGTCTATTTCGGTAAGCGTATGGCATCGAAAAGCATCTGATAAGAAAGAAACACCTACTGAAATTCTGCAGCTTAACTTGCCACAAAACTTGTAGCCGTCGCACCGTATTCTTCCGGCTTCGGCTTTCTTTAACGAGGTGTCGTATGAACGGCAACGCACGGAAGAGTCCAATGTCTTCAAGTATAAACACGACGGTCCTGTACTGTCCTAGGTAAGGTGGGTGCCCGTAAGGACCTAGCACGTACACTGGAAAATGAATTGTTGAGTGTGCACGATCAGCAGCTTGCGCGATCCTACTAGTCACACCCTGCCTAGGTCGGGTCACTATGTGTAGCAGACGAGTTGGTGCTTCTGGGTGGTTTTGCACTGTAGCCACCGAAGCCACGTGAAATGCAGGAAGCTGCAAGCAGGATCTTACCCCCAAGCGTGGCATCCAGAGCTGTATATACTGCCCCGGTCGAGCCACCCACTGTACTGGAACCACAACATCAAGCCATAACAGCCGGTTGGAAGACCGCGCGAGGGCTTTTCGAGCGGTGATACGCCACGACCTATGGACCCACATGCTGTGCAGGCAAGTGACGGCACTCTAGGCACATCTAGCGCAAATACCACCTAGTAAAACCCAGCGGTAGGATGATGCTCGGTCGATCAAATGGTAGAAAAGGGCGCCGGTGGCGATCGAAGCTAGCACATAATGGACCTCGAGGCCGAGTTGCGGCCACCGTCGAAGAATTCTAGCAAGCGTCTAAGGCATAATTGAGATGAGACTGTATCCGGCCTGTTCTATATTAGCCACTACTAGTTACTACGGGAAATAGGAAGGCTGCCGTTCTCTGTGGCGCTTCACGTACCAGGAGTGGAATGACGAGGGGAGCTCCAAACATGGTATTTCGAGCCATTGTGATTAAGATGGACCCATGAAGAAGGTAATGCAGCACGCAAATGCGGCCTAGCCACCGATAGGCCTATTGAAACGTGCCTCGTTCGACACGGTAGATGTGGGCCGGAAGACTGAAGCTCAACCCGGAGTAGAGGGGAACAAGGTGTGTGACCGCTAGGCATCCGGCTCGCCTATGCATATCCGCCCAGCTTTGAGCATGAAAGGTGATTACAATGACGTTGGCAATCACTAGGGTTGCAAGTATGCCCCCTTGCGAGTATAACGGGATATCCAGCGACTGGAGCACGTCTGGTGTTGGCGCCCGGAAGAAGCGTCTCCAGGATACGGTGCGTTGTAACCTCAGTGGTAAATAGCTGAATCGGAGTCTAAGGCTATAAGATATCCAGCATAAAAGAGTGAGGAGCCCGTAAAGACCGAATTTATCTTGGATAGGAGCCCTGGCAAGCCACTCGACAAACTTTAAAACAGGGCGGGACATGCTTTGAGTCGAGGCAATACTGGATCCCAACAGGTTTATATCTCAAGTTCTATCGGTAAGCTAAACCAGGGCGTTCCAGTGCTTCTGCAAGGGTGGTCGAAAGCACCTTGCAATATTGATGCGGTAATCATGCTGCTGGCGAAAAAGATGGGAAGGTCTCTTTGTACAACGCGGACTGAGATGACGGGTTAACGATTGACGATTGAAATGAGCATCACCGATAACATGAAAAACGCTATCTATTGCATAAGATGAGGCTCGTCTAGTCTACGATCAACGTTGAACCACAAGTATACACTGATCAAATCGCTGTAATATTATGCGGTTGTTCATTATCCCATACTTCCAAAGTTGAGCCCAGTCAACGTCCAGCGAGGCTTTTTTAGATGTCGTATGCCCGCCTATTAAATTGGGCAGTGATTGTCATTGTCAAGACGATCAAGGTGACCGTGGATAGCGACGGCGACCATGGAAACTGTTGTGACAGCCCGCCCTTCGGGCTCTCACACCAGACTTTTCAATGGACCTAGTCGTTCTGCCTATCGATGTAGTCTGGATCGGACTTATCTAAGACGCAAAAACATCTTTTCCGAGGAAGGCGGTCGTGTCGTAGCGAACATGTCTCCGAGCTGTTTTATTGAATTGTTTCGATCTAATGTAGATTCGATAAGACCGCACCTATATCACAGCATTTGCGTTTTATGATTCCTTCTACGTACTAATATTGCAGATCCATTAATAAGGCTTGCTACATCTAATTGTGGCACTTGGTTCCTAGTCTAAAGTTCCTCCAATAGGATGTATGGTGAAGACCATTACAAGATATTTCTGGCTCTATTGTGAGTGTGACGGTCCAATCACAAAGTAAAGCTATCACAAGATTTGAAATACTCGTCTTATCATTCATTTGGTAGCGTATACTTCAAAAATGGATAACAGCAGCAGTAGTACCATCCTCCAGCTTCTATGCAGGTCCTAACAGTGAGTGATGGGCTTATAAGAAGAGGTTGCATGTATATGAGAAACTTCCAATAGCTCAGCAAGAATAGTCGCTTTCTCTCTGCTCGAAATTTCGAGTCTGAACATAAGCTTTGCCCTAGCAAGCCATGATTTACCGTTCATTCGTTCCAGCAGGGAGGAAAGTGAGTCATTGGTTAGACTGGCAGGGTCAAGCGCATCAATCGTAAAGTTTGCCGGGTCCAGGGTGGAATATATCTAGATAAACCCGTTAGAGTACTCAAAAGAAGCTGCGCTCGCGTTCCATTTTAAGACCAGCGTGTTGAATAATGGCCCGAAGATTGTAACTGGAAGGCCGACACAGACGTACGCTGCCTCTACACGATTGTCTTGAAGCATAGTCCTAAGTACCGATATAGCCTATTCGGTGGATCTTGAATCAACAACGACCGAGTCAGATATCCAGAATTCGGTTGACCAGCGGTTGGAAGAAAAATCGCTTCTCTGCATCAAAGGACGTTGAAAGCGAGAGAAGCCTTTCCTGAGACGGCTTGTTTGTTTTTCTTTCTTTGAACCGAGAAGAATGATCTTCAAATTGGCTGAATGCGCTGTCTGCAGAATCCCAATCTGATAGTCATGCGGTTCCAGATTGCTGAGCTGGGCTTGAGGGAAGACATGAATGACGCCATTCTCCATGGATACACATTCTCCCCGGCTATCAGCTTTGTTTACTGAATGGGCTGGTGGGATTATGGTGGAAGTGAGAGTGACGTTAATACTCTGGCCACAGAGCTTTGACTGCTCCCACTTCCAAACGAGCTCTTCAGTCTTCGAATATATGAAAGGGACTTTGGTGACTGGGATTTTTGAGGAGTGATCCGCATGAGAAAAATGCTTCCTGCTTTGTTCAGTATCTTCGCAAATGGCCATCGTAGTCATCATACAAACCGACCTGTAAGCGTATGAGAGAAGCGGAAGTTTCAGTATTTGTAGCATCAAGGGCGATATCAAGGCGTTCCTTTAACAAAATCTTCTGACCAACCCACAGGTTAGTCTCTGACGATGTAGATGCGCGAAAGCAGATAAGAAGTGGGCCACTGGAATGGGATTGGTGTATGAAATTATCTGAGGGCGTCTGCGTGAGATTCTGATGCTAAAGATAAAAGTTGCACTTCGCGGACGACTGGGTGAACATGAGTATTTCCCCATTGTAGTGTTTCAGCTGTACGAACGCTGAACTGCATTTCCAACGTGCAAACCCATTTTATTTCCTGTTGAGAGTAGAGAGGCACACACATTGATCGGACTGTTTGGGACTTTTGGCATCGTGGGAGGCATTCTGTCACTCAACGTTGGATAAACAATCTTGTTGACTTTCATTCTTCCGCGCAACGAGTGAAAACAAGCCTGCAAAGAGCAGAATTCAAGGTGCCTATTCATGCATCCAATGAAAATACAGAGAGACTATTTTATTTGTGAGAAGCTTATTGTAGGACAATACTAGGACTATACGATGAAAATGTACGTAGAAATGACAATTTAGCTATCTGAGTTTCAACAGAGTTGCTTTTCGATTGCTCTGGGCCTCTCGTATCCAGCTTTGTGAGCCTTGGCTTAAGACAACATATCATCATCCTAAAGGCAGGTTGGTCTTGGTGTTAGCCAATCAATATCGCGATTAGAGTATTTCATGGAAACTTCCACTGCGAAACCCCCAATTACCCAAAGCGTAACGAAACAACGGTTGTGTCTATTTCTCTATTTCTTGGCAGTCATCATCATACCCTTGCTGCTGATCGGCAGTTGCATAGCTGTTAGGATCGGCGTTCTTTGCGAGCCAAAAGGCGGAGTTGATCTATCATAACTCCTTGTTGTCGGAGTAATGTTTTTCCGTAACTGTAGTAATAACTCAGCTGTCCCCAGGATATTTGCTGCATCCATCATGAACACGCAAGCAAAACCCTCTTCGTCCCCCATCTTTGCGACAGGAGCTCGAAACCTGTCTCTACGAAATATTTCATTCAAACCCCCCTATACATGTATGTTATGTGTGACCTGGCCTCACTCTGGTGAATTTCCAGCACAGCGGCGAATTGACAAAGTCAGCAAGCATGGCGAGCCAGGCGCCATTCTATTCTACCTCTGCTCAGAATACTACCCATTTTGCCCTCATTTATATTGATCAGTCTGGGAAACTTCATCATGAGGTGTCCCCTTCGATGATTAATTATCGCGACGCTATCCTTTCCCCCGAAGTCACAGTTGAATTCCTGAAGGCGGTGGCGAACTCTACTGAAGTTGGTCAGCGAAGGCCTTCCCTGGAAGTTGCTTCCACCCGGCAGGTTCGTCACCCTCCGCTTGTTCGAGAAAGCCACACTGAGTGCGCAGGGCAAGTTCGCAAGACGGAAAACGCGACAACGAACCTATCTGTGTTAGGATTGTACAATCGTATTGGAGGACTCCGTCGTTCAGTGTGTGAAGGCGGAGAGGTTTCTTATGAATGATCAGATTATTACATCTTAATTGATGCCTTTAAAACCCATCTCTACTATTTACTGCAAGTATTCGAAGCGAAATTTTTGTACTGTGCATTCTCTTTACATATGCCATTCTCAGCTCTCATATATATTTTCTGGGCGTCGTTCTATGATTTAGGGGCTACTAGTAATGACCCATGGATAGAGGCGGATATATCATTGATGTCTTGCTGAGACTACACATGTGTGACATGAACGTAGTCAACCAGCCTCGTCAATAGTCGCAGGGATTGCCTTCATGAGTATACTATCGTGAAGTAAGATACTACCTGAAGATCCGAGTTAACCAACCTGCTACGCGCTCTGCCAGCTATGAAGCTCTTATGCCCGATAAATGATGCAGCGCCGATTCCTGTACGAGTCTTTGTAGACGACCTACACGCAATTGGCCATGCCAGTGAGCTCATATTCGGACTGTGACACGTGAGGCCAAGAGTATTGATTTGCGTTCTGGTCCCCACGCCGCTGCCAGGATGCGGGTCTCTAGCCGTTTAATCCTTACGAACCACGTCTGTATGCCATGTTGGTTTGATTTTGATATACAGAAAGGCTTTATCCTACCACAAAGGCACAAGCGCATGTTCTGATTCCGTTCCAAAGCGCCCTCGAGCCGGGGGGCGGGGTCCCCTAGAGACCCCCTTTATGGGGGTCGGCGAGGCAATTTCCAATTGCCGGGGGTGCCCCCCAAGGCGACGGGCAAGATGCGCTGACCCACTCGGTGGTCTGTCACATGGATCATTCAGATCTGCTTGATATAACCGCAGAACAATGGACTAAATCTTACTTTCAGCACTAGGAAATCTTCTTCCTTATCAACCATGGAGCCCGTATCGTGCCCATGGAGTGCACTGAGCATTCAACACACCGCCGGCGTTGTTCCTGGTCCCAGACACCCCTCTTATTGTCGACGAATCCCGATGGTCGGCCTACTAAGCAAATATTATAACATATACCTCATCAAAGAATCCGCGACCTAACACTATAGCACAAACGAGATTCGAGGCCCTTTACGCTGAACGTCATACTCAACACTTTGCTCCCGGCAGCATGCCCAGTGCAGAGTAGTCAACGAAATGAGACACCGCAGACAATGGAGTGGTCTGACAGATTCTTGAGATAGGATGGAAACTATCCCTGAGATCATGAGCTGCTTCGACAGGCTGTGTCCACCGAGATTTCAAATCTCTTTGCTCAGTATTCTGGCGAAGAGGGCTGGCATAAGGGATCAAAGTATCCCGTAGTGGTTGCCACGAAGGAGAGCCTTGACGTGATTCAAAACATATGGAAGAACACCTTTGCGGGGATTCCGTTTTTGGCGGCTGCCAGAAGTTCTGATGATTCAGTGTGACCATGGTGAAAGCAAGGATATCTGGATAGCCAAGAGTTGGAGTGAAATATAGCGAGACTGGATTTGAGAGGATATGCAAGAAAACGTAGGAAGAATGTGTCCTTGACACAATTTATATTTCAGGTATCAATGCCTCTTTACACCTGCTGCACTACTTAACGTAATGTAATATGATCAGCACAGATTTCGGCTCTATAGTCGACACAAAATGGGATTCAGACGGCATACCTTATCAGTGCAACTGCACGACCCTTGCCGGGGCCAATCAGAAACAGTTCTGCTTCGTTGTGGATCAACTGAAGGAGGTGATCCCAGGAGCATGAGCACGATGTAGACCATTTCGCGAACTTCTTCGGCTGAGGTCGATGACTTAGTGCTCTATTTTGCATAGCACGGCGTGTGAATGCATTAGAGGCCTATGGCAAGGCACGCGAGAATCATTGCCTGATTGTGGCAGTGTACGATGGTCCTGGGAACGAGCCAACTCCCGGATATAGAATATCAGGAGAATGAGGGATTTCATGTTCGGATTTGTTGTACGGACCGAGGGGTAGGGCCTGCATTGTGAAAGAGCGGATGGTACGGTCAATCGTACAGTCAGTTGCAGGTATGATGAGGTGTTCAACCTTACGCAGGTTGAAAGTGGTCAAGCCGAACAACTAGAAGTTCAAAGACTGAGAGAAAGTTACTATAGCAACGCGAGGACACGTCATTTTCTAGCTTGCGCTCCCAGGAACCAGTAGGCAGTAGGGCGGTTATTATCGAAGTAATCGAATGGATACAGAGGCAAGACGGCATTCAATGGACCGACCAGACTGAGCCTCGGGGTGAGCGATCAGGTTGCTCAGTGAGCTGCTCAGGGTCGCTGGTGAGCAGCTCAGGGCGGCACCGTGACTAACTCAGCAGATGCTCTAGGAGCCGATCACTTCCCGAAGCGGCAATGTTACCGTCACCTAGACTACATAAGGATACTCTATTGGGTCCAGCACTTTCTACCTTGGTACTTCTCTGCACATGATTCTATGACATACTCCTTGTATTAGAACTAATCTACACCCTCTCGGCTGCTCGGTCGCGTTTCTTTACCCTTCACTATGAGTTGTAAGATGAACCAGCCTTATTTAGTCTTCTACGCCATCGAGAACAGACTATAAAATACAGCTGGCTCTAGCGTCATACTCCGCACTGCGGCGAGAAGAGATGTCTGCCATCAGTGTCTGTTCATTCCATGCATACGTTTTGCACCGGCTCTTTGTAGACCAAACGAACCAAGTTTATTTCAAAGAACTACGAACTTTGCTGCTAATTATAAGCTTGCTTTCTCCAATTTTCTTTCACTATTGAGTTTAAGTGTCGTTAAAAGATTGAGAACATTTTCGTAAACAAACATGGTGGTCACCGAGGCTGGTACAGCTCGTATCATGCTCGTCTTCATACCAGCATAGAAACCTCGCCACCCCTCCTGTTGCCAGATTGTACTGGCGGTCATAAGTACGCTGCTGTGCCACGGTGGTGATGGTTTCGTAGACTTGAGACTTTGCTGCATGTGAAGCCGAGTTCGAATAACCTCGTGAGGATATGTCGCCGAGCTCGCAACTATCTTGCTGAAAGAGGCTGCCATGAGAGTTCCCGACGTATTGTAGTGAGATTCCTCATTCTCCTCCCCAAGCCCTGATCCCGTGAATGTCCTCTTCATCTTTTCGTAAAGAGGAAACTGGATCGTAAGATGGGATACCCCGAGTAGGGCTGGTGTCAAACCGGAATAGAAAGCTAAAACACCCTCCTTGGAGTAAATTTGCCGAGCTGCGTCGAATGCTGACTTGTACTGCCACTCTGGCCTTGCATATATCCCGTTGGAGACACTGGTCTGCGACATGAGTCTAGTTTTGATAACTAGGATTGGGTTGGTGGCAACGATGCAGAAAGTGCCCGCTACTAGCGATGACATGAACGAGGTCATCCACTGGCTACCAACACCTGCAACAAATCTCAGCTCACAGGGTCACGGGGACGTTGCCTAAAAGCGAATAAACGTACCAAACCATTCATCGAAAGTTTCATGGCTTCGATGGTAAGTAGTAAAGAAAATAGCCCACCTAGGAAAGTAAGCGAGTACACTTGGCCCTAAGCCTTGGTACATTCCTCTCAATCCTTTCTCTCGCCACACCTGTCGGCCAATGCTGAGTAAGCCGTGATTCGCGCGCGGAAGCAGAGAAGAGGCTGTTTCTCGCCGCAAACCACCTTGAGCTTGCAATTTCATTTTGATAACATCCAGGGGGCAGGTCACTATACTGGAGGCGATACCGCTACTCGCACCCGCAAAAGTTCTGATGAAATTCAACGAAAAATGAGTGGCCGCGTAATCCATAGATGATGCGGCTTCGACATTGTTCAAGCTGTCATGATGTCCGCAGGGCATTCTGGCTTTGCTCAAATTTGTAGGCCGGCCAAAGTAGGCCCGAATGCCTACTGAAATGGTTCATATACAAATTATGCTACCAAAAAGAGAATGACCAGGAACGCGTGATGTGACATGTTAAGTAAGGACCGTGATTTTCCGGTTTAAAGGTAGCTTCGGTTAACTTAATTAACTTACTAGCGATGACGTAATCATGTGGTCACAACCAAGCAAAGTTGTTTTTTTTGTTTATAACGTATTCGGTAAGCGAGTGGTGCACCCCGCGTCATTCTCGCGTTTTAGTTTAAACCTCTTTCTTCAACCAACCACCATGCCACCAATTCGCTCTCGATGTTCTCAAAAACGTATAGAGCAAGAGGGGAGGATCTTATTAGCTGTTCAGGCTTTCCAGAAGGAAAAAAAAACATTCCAATTCGTCGGTTGGCACGCGAGTTTGACGTATCGGCTACAACGCTTACTCGACGTCTTACCGGTGTCAAAAGTCGCGAAGAAGTCCGCGCCAATAACCACAAATTGACAATGCTAGAAGAAGAAGCTCTTAAGAAATGGATAATCTCAATGGATAAGCGCGGAGCAGCCCCTCGGCCGAATACTGTACGAGAGGCAGCTAATTTATTACTCGAGGGTCGTGGGACCGACCCGACCGAGACGGTCGGCGAGAAATGGGTATACAATTATGTCCAACGGCATCCAGACCTCTCAACCCGATTCTCAAGGGCCTACGATTACCGGCGAGCTCAATGCGAAGACGTGAAAATGATCTCTACATGGTTCAATTTTGTAAAGAGTACGATCGCGAAGTACGGCATCGTGGATGACGATATCTACAACTTCGACGAGACGGGCTTCGCCCTCGGCCTTATTACCACTGCTAAGGTAGTGACTCGGACTTCATACGGTCGGAGGGCTCTCTTGCAGCCAGATAATCGACAGTGGGTGACTACAATTGAGGCGATAAATGCGTCCGGATGGGCGCTGTCGCCATGCGTCATTTTTAAGGCAAGGGTTTTTTGAAGTCATGGTTTGCCGATACAAAGCTTCCAACGGACTGGCTTTTTGCCGTTAGTGATAACGGATGGACTACGGATGCCATTGGACTCGATTGGCTTCAAAAGATCTTTATCCCATCGACTACTAGCCGGAGAAAGGGACGGTATCGGCTGCTGATACTCGACGGACATAGCAGCCATCTTACACCTCAGTTTGATCAGATATGCGCTGATAATGAATTATCCCTATTTGTATGCCAGCGCATTCATCTCATCTCCTACAACCTCTCAATATCGGCTGTTTTGGTTATTAAACGCGCCTACAGCAAGGCGATCGAGACGCAAGCGAAGCTTCACCGGGTCCGTGTCGACAAATCAGACTTTTTGGAGGCGTATCGAAACGCAAGAATTGAAGCATTTGGCTTAGACACTATTGTGAATAGCTTCGCCGGCGCTGGCCTAATTCCATTCGACCCGGAGCGCGTTATTTCGAAGCTCAACATTCGTCTTATCACCCCGCCTAGACCGATCAGCCACGGTAGCGATTCAAGCAAAAACTTCACCCCGAAAAAGCCTCATACTGTGAAGGATATACGGAGACAGGCATCATCTATTCGGAAGCTGGCTATAGATGACCCTCAGCGTCTTAGTGAAGCTATAGACCAAATGGAGAGAGGGTGCCATTTAGCGATACATAGCTTCACTATTGCGCGTCAGCAAATTAAGGATTTGCTTGCTGCCAACGCAAAAGTGACGCGTAAAAGGCAGCGAGCAAAAGCTCGAATAGCGCATGAAGGAAGTCTACTAGTCGAAGAAGCTATTACGCGTTTGGGTATAGAGGGAGAGGCCGAAGAAGCGAGAGCTAATCGATCGGGCCATACATCGCCGGCGCCTAATCAGACCAATAAGAGGCGCCCGCAGCGATGCAGTCTTTGTAAAACGCCTGGACATAAGAGAAATAGGTGCCCAGAGAGGTCTGAATAGCTTCATTTCAAAGAAGATTCGCGTTGTGGTTGAAAGAATTGAATAATAGTAGTAGAAATAATGGCGAGGTGCACCACTCGCTTACCGAATGCGTTACCCAAAATGAAAAGGCTTTTCTACATCACTTATGCATCTCACGAGATTAGTCGTGTTTGCACTGTTTACAGTGCTGCAGCACTCCCGCTGCGGCACCGGTGCTGCGGGACTTGTCAAGGCCTAAGAGCCACCAATGGAGCAAGTCTTTGAAAGTAGAGAGCAGCTGCTTACTTCTATACAGCAGCATGCGCTATCTTATAGATATGCTATCACTACTATTCGGTCTAATAGAGATATTCCTATCTCTACGGGATGCGATAGATGGAGTATTTACCATGGATCAAGGAGTTCAACAGAAGATAATGCATCATATCAAAACAATAAACTATCAGACGAAAGAATAATCAAGAAAGCGCCATCAAAGTGTCCAAATTGTGGAGAACTTGGGCACACAATCCGTTCCTGCAGGATATAATACAGTATGTATGTAAAATTAAGATCAATTGGATGAAATAAGATCAATTAGAAGAGAACTAGTTCTTATACTGTACCAGCATCTGAATGACCGCAAAATCCTAAGAGTCCTTTGAGGGACTTAGCTGCGAGGATTCTGCTTCTACTTAGTCATCACCTTGGCTCGATTGGTGCCACGTAGTTGGAAGTTGATTTTGTCCAACGAAGCAATAACGTTATCGTATCAGTGGATTATCATCAACCAAACTGAAGCGTCCAGTGCTGCTGAACTCAAGACTGGAATCGGCTTATGACTTTGTTATCATTGTAGCTTTTGTCACAGCTGAATCAGGACGCAATCTTCGAGGCTCGAGATTTCCACACGCTTCCAAACGCTCTTTTTCATAAACCAAGACGTTCTAGCAGCAGTATAGCTCCTAAGAACAAACTTGAAATAAGTTCATGTACTAGGCACCATACGGTATGGATATGGCAATTGATTTAGACATACTTAATTTGGTTGTCCGGGGTTGGCGCCCTTACCGTGATTGGGAGATGTTTTGCTTTTAGAAGTGATACCTCGCGAGTCACAAATCTTTGCGCTTGATTTGGTTTCCCAGTATAAACGAATATATTGATAGTGCAGAAATAAATCTTATTCACATTTGAAACAATCACACCTTCACAAAGTTACAACACCAAAGGGTAATACAACTTATCAAAGAATCACCACATGTAGTGCTTGAAAGTGATCAAATCCAACGATACTGCGTCTATCTGATATACTCCACTATGAATGGAATCTTGCTGCAATATCAAGAATATTGGTATCATGATTGCGGTTCAAGTAAAAAGCTGAGGCACGTTATGAGAACGGTCGTAAACTGTGAAATGTGAGGACCAGATCATCTTCTGGAGAAGAGCAACAATGGAGGGGTCTTACCGAGCCATCCACCAAAGCCACTTGCTTCGGACCACTGAAAGCCGTTACCTTTGACTGAGAATCCATTAGTTCCTTGGCCTGCGTTGATCAAGATCGAATCCCAAGCTAGAAATTATTGGTCAATACGCGTTTCAAATCAATACGCGACGTTCCAAAGGCGAGTTCTCACAACTATATTTGGTGTCGACGGTGATAACAAACCCTCAAGGGAATTCAGTATGGAAATTAAACCGCGCTTTGGTGCCAATTTGGTCTTGAGGTCGAAATTTCCCTCATGCCTAATCTTATTGCCTTGACTTTACAATTCAAGGCATTATCTTTCTGCTCTTAAATACCTCGAGAATCACTTTTTTGCGGGTCTGGCGAACTATTTGCTATTGCATCCAGCTTCTTTGCGACGTTCGTTTGTTTCTCTACCTTGCTTTCAACAACCCAGCCCTTTGCTATCTTTCATCTCGTCTCCATCATCTACTCCTCCTGTGCTTCATATTTAGCGCAGCACATATATCTCGGGAGAAGGATCATGCCAGGAGCAGAACTCAAGAAGCGAAAGTCAATATGAGCATAACGAACGACCTCACAAGCCAGTCAAAGGCTAAAGCGCGAACCATAATGCGGCAGGAGCTTCCTGAATGGCAGTTTGACAACAACTATATCTTGAGTGGCTATCGACCAGCGAAAGCAGACTATCTGGAGATCTTTACCAGCCTGACCTTTTTGCACAACGAGTCTTGCAATGTGTACACTCACCTGGTCGGGGCTCTACTCCTACCACTCGTTGCAACTGCCCTCCTGCGTTACCTGGCCGAGCCCCAATTTATCAATGTCTCTTCAATGGACTACACTATGTTTGGAATCTACTTCTGGTGTGCGGAGACCTGTCTGGTCCTCAGCGCAATTTACCACCTGATGCAACCCCACTCGCATCACGTAGAACAATTCTGGCATGGAATGGATCTGCTTGGTATTGTTATTGTGACAGTGGGCACGTTCTCTTCCGGTATCTACTATGTATTCTTCTGTGAACCTAGCTTGCAAAACTTGCACTGGGCTCTTGTGAGTCTCTCCAAGCGATCGTCGCACCCCACCCTCCTGATCTGGCAGCCGGGTCTAATTCAATGATACACTGACTTAGATTCTAGATTTTAACTACGGGTACTGTCACCGGTGTTCTTATCTTGAATCCCTTGCTTAAAACGCCACGCTGGCGGAAGGTGAAGGTGGGCGCCTTCGTTATTTTTGGCGCCTCATCGCTCATACCCCTGCTGCATGGAGTTCAGCGATACGGGCTCGAATACATGCTTCAATACTCGGGCATGAAACTGTATCTGCTCGAGCTTACTTTCTATTTCATCGGAGTCAGCCTATACGCGGTATGTCTGCACCCTCACCGCATGTTCCATTCCCAGAATAACGACAATTCTGACGAACATCTGCAGTTCCGAATTCCGGAGCGTTTGGCACCGGGTAAATTTGATATTTGGGGAAGCTCGCACCAGATCTTTCACGTCGCGATCTTATGCGCAATGTGCACACACGAGACTGCTCTTCTGCAGGGTTTCACAACCTGTCATACACTGCATGTGTGTCAGCTTCAGGGTGTCCATTGAGCAGTATGAGACTTTGACTAGGGCTGGACTGCTCAAATTGCGAGACATACGTTCTATAAGCATTTGTAGTCATCAATTATCTGTAGTGCGGATAGGGATAGGGGTGGCTGCTAAAGTGGCCTAATGGCGTACAACGAGAAGAGCAATCTGAATTGAGAATTCCCACAATACGTGCATAAGTCACTTTTTGTAAGAATGGGGCAGTGGGATCTCGGAGGACTCATTGGGGGAGCTAAGATTGAATGTGGCCCTGAGTCTTGAAATTCGCCCTTCCCTCCCCTTTGCTCTGGGTCTGGGTGCCGATGCCCCTACTTCTCGGACGCTGGTAAAATTTCAGCACAAGATAGTCGGTGAGGTGATCGACCGGTCCGATGCGCAATCAGCGAATCGATATAACCCTTTTACTCTCTCTCTCTCTCTCTCTCTGTCTCTTTCTCTCTCACACACACACACACACACACACACACACAGAGGCAAGACGTGGTGATCTCCCCGAGCAGAAAATATATCTCAGTTGTAGACCCTTGAAAGCTTCTCCAAGGATCATTTGCTGTATTGTTTCCAGTACTGTATACTATTATTCTCATTTTCCATACTCGACCCAAAGATTCGTTTTTTAGTGAGTTCAGTTTCTTGGTCGCCAATTTGGACAATTTTAGACATATGTCTGAAATTAGAAACAAGAGGGGTAATCTTTCAGAGAGGACAGACACCCAATCATCTTTTAGGGGGAATGAAAGCTTTTGCTTCTTCATCATTGGCCCCAGACTAGACTTCAACTAGCTGAATAGTAGTCTGCTTGTCTTTTGGCACCTTTGGGGCTAAATGGGAGTGATCGGACGTGGCTTCCATTTCGTGCGCGTCGGCCAAGGTTCCCGCATATTCGGGGTTGAATGAGTGACAGGCGCTCTGCAGATAGAGATGATCAGACTTAAGAGTGGGCTTTGAAAAGCTCGGTGAGGATCAGGGATTCAGTGGGACCAGTCAGGCTCTTTTTGTCCATCTTCCACATGCTTACTCGCAGTTCTCTTTGTTTGCTACAGAAAAATCATCCATAGCAAACAAAAAAAGCTCCAGGAGACCCACCATCGGAGGGCACTTCGCAATCCTATTGGAAGATCACCGATCAAACGCTAGCATCGGCTCTCATTGGCCATGTTATGCCCTAGACCTGTCATCATACTGCCATGTAAGCTGTAGTCTTCCGCACCGCCCCTGGTGTCGTAGCATCAGCAAGGTCGAGAATTTCATAGAACACAGGAAGAGCACGCTGCATCAAGTCAACCTAGCAGTTTGGTATCTTTGGCCGGCGCAAGCCAAGTCCAATTGGCCCGATTAGGCGGCTGTAGCTGAATCTCTTCCCCCTAGCAATGCTTTTTAGTTTGACCTGCTTGCAGAACGCTACTGGTTCAATACCATACAGGACGTAACTTATTTCTAGGCTTTCGTTACAGATTTGTGCTGCTAGAATACTGCCCAGAGTTTTGAAAGAGGGTTCCGGGAAACAGTCTCTGTGTATTGTATGTGGCGAAATTAATTCCGATCCATCCTGTAATATCAACCAAGAGCGAGGGTGAGATGCGGTGGATGAGAACCCAGCGTTGAAATGACCCAGTCCTGGATTATGGTCACAAGGTTAGCGAATATTATCAATACAATTTGTCGTGGTTAAATCCCGAAATTCATAGCTAGTTCACATATTCCAAGGGTCGGTCAACTGTGGTCAGCTTGAACGACAATCTGATGATTTTTCTACCGACAAGCCGTCAAGACATGCGTTTTTTGACGCCTGATTTGAACATATATCATGTGCTTGAGCCTTATTTGACCGATCAAACACAATCATGGTTCTCAGAGGCAATGAGAAGCGCGCCTCCTTCAGGCAACAGTGCCGTGAGGCATTGACAGCCCATACACGTATGTTATGGTCTTCTCTTGGCTAAGTTGCGAAACTAATCCGCGTCAGATGACCGACTTGGGATTGTTGTCGCTCCCAGACAAGTGCATCCAAAGCCATCAGCTGCAAATAATTACGCTTGATCGGTGACGGCATCCAAGAAAAGCCTATTGCAGTCCAATTTGGGCATTGAAAGTGTCAGCCTGTACAAGTCCATTTGCAAGGAATTGGGCCGGTCTCTTGAGGCAGTGATTCCGCAAACGCTGCAGGCTGTTCAATTAGAACGAGACAGCCTGTCGAGAGAAGAGGTGAACCTTGTGAACGCTACGGTTGAGTCTGAGGTCAACGCAACGTTAACTCTGAGGTGAGCCTAGGCTAGCCCGTAGTAATGAGGAAAGCGGCTCTTTCACGGCAAAGATCAGCGAGCTGGAATGCGCCAATCATTAAATGAAGAATGAGCTTGACTACACCAGCGTCCATCTCCAGGAGTCCCTCGGCGAGAATCGCACATTACACGCACAACTTCGTCGTATTCAGGACGAATTGGATAATAGTTCATCGCGAACCAACTTGCCGAAGACGAGTTGGTTTGCGCCACAAAAGGGATCATCACAGCTATGCAGGTTTGCAGGATTATCAAGCCCAGGAGCGCAGCAGGCCAACTTTACATGGAGTCAGACAATGTAAATCTAGACATAGCATAGACAGCATGGTGCTAGGGATACCGCAGGCTCCGCTACGCGACGAGGTGGCTTGGTTGATATTGGGGTCGCGTATTCGTGTTTTGTCTACGAGCGCTACTTATCCTAGGACCCCACCTTTATTTCCTACTGCAGAATCATCCTCCATTTAACAAGTGTATTACTCTCGGCATTGAAAGACTCCGGCTATCCTATACGGCGCATCTAGGTATCGAAGACTGTTCAAAGATGCTGATATATAGTGTTTCTGTTAGGTAGAAAAAGATAAGTGAAGAGTACCGTATGGCAGGCGGTATATGAGACGGTCAGATTCAGAAGTACTGCCAACCAAATACTTTTGTTACACCACTGTACGATAAAACCCGGTGCGTACTGTACTGCATCGATAACATTCACCTCTCAACTTTGCTGCAAGACCTTACGAAATCTTTCCAGGGTCACTCTTGTTTCGATTCCTCCTGTCCCAATCCGCTTGAGTGAAAGGTGGGTTGGGAACGAATAACATGTGATTATGCCTGCTATTCCGGATGGAAGATGAAGATGAGTCGCCTTCATAATGTTCTCTATTGCCATCTCCATAATCGCGCGTCCTTTGACGCTCGCGAGACACAGTCACAACCGCCTGATATGATGTGTCTTGGCTGTGTGGCGATGGTATCACGCTAGGCAAACGACTACCAGAAGGTAATCCCGTATTGCCTTGTATTATGTTCCTTGGATTTTGCATGCTTATGGAATCGCTGGCCCTTGGTGGTGGGGTCATAGCACGTGAAGAATTATCTCGCCTTTCCCGAGCGATAACCGCTCGTGCCCCAGCGACGGGCACTTTCTGGATCTGTTTGATGATGAATATCATCGATTCTGTGTTGGATACCAGCGGCGACTCGTGGATATTTTGAATTTTATCATTCATTGTCTTGGCCAGTTTCTTCAAAGACTTGTTCTGGCGATGAACCATCTTTTCTAATGCGGCTCTGCAAATGGAAAAAAGCACTTTAGTCATGATAATAATATGCGTGATCAGCTAGGGAGTCTCACATTTGACTAAGAAGCAAATCATGGTTGTCATTCGCTGTTGACTGTTGTAAAAATCTCGCGAGAGAGCTTTCCAGTGCCAAGAGACAAGAAAGCAAGCCAAGACTGTGCTTCACAGTACCAAATGTGATCATTAAGGCTTGGATCTCCTGCTTCGTAAAATGCCACCGAACCTTTGCTAACAGTTCATTAAATGAGCTAGGGCTGTTACCCTTCATGAGCGGCTTGAACTTGGTCATGATGTGATTGATTTGCTCAAGAGCTGAAGTGGCCTGGGTCTGCAATGCTTCATCAAGATTTTTCTCGCGAGCCAATTTCATCACTCCGCTGCCCAGAGGGCGTGTGACATCGTTAAAGATACCAAAAAGACCTTGACAAATATAAACCTCCTCCATCAGCTGTCGCACGTCCCGTTTCGCGAACTTCAAAGTATTGTATAATTGACGAAGGCCTTTGATGCATGCTTCCAGTTGACCGCAAACCGCAAATACCGAAGCTACTCCACTGAAGAGATCCATCGTTCTTTCCGTACAGTAAGTTAATACAGCATTCTCTTTGCCCGCATTTAAGCAACGTGTGTAAAAGAGAATGAGGCTCTGCATACGTGTCAGACCTTGGCAAACTACCAGGACTACTGAGGCATCCAATCAGCTAGGACCACGACATCGGAACTGTCGAGCATCAAATCCATGCACGCTGTGCAGTAGCCAGTTCGGCAATGGAATTAGCCGCCCTCTTGATATGGTTCGGTTGGTTGGGAACCAGTGGCCTTCCCCGCACCATCTACATACGACCAAGCACATTGAGCCTGCACTACTGGATTACTAGTTGTAGGATGAAACGAGGAGAACGAAATGGTGAACCAGATTTGATCCGCCCAGCAATCAGTGACCCTTCGTCGGGCTTGACACTATCTGCGTCTCTGATGCACGACCTGAACAACGCATCTTACGGTGTCGTATTTGGTGGCTGCCATGTCTAAGCAAGCGCATGATCTTTCACCCTAGCAAGCGCATTATTGAGGTCTGTTGATTGGAAATGGGTGACCATACTCCTTCCGGTCCTCAGATCACGTGCCTTTCCTAACACCTAAACTTCCCCCCCCCCCACAAAAGGCCTCAAAGTGTTTTACTGATTCTCGTTGCATTCTGCCCCTCTAAACTCTTCATCTATCTCACCCCATATAAAACGAGGGTTGGGCTGATCTGGTGGAGAGATACATTTGGCAGGCTAAGTTCAGGTTTCTTGCGCTACTCCACGGATCCCGCTCGCCACTATTGTTCCTATTTGCTCACATTTTATGCCAATAAGTATTTATGAATTTTAGCACACTCTTTGCCGTGATTCCCAGTTTTGCTAGACTGTAATAAGACGATCGTCTCTTCACTATGCTAATGTTCAGCATTCACTGCTTTCGCAGTCGATGCTAGACCGAGAAAATTCAAGAAATATACCAAGCGAGGTCGTACTCCACAACTCTTCATCGCAATTTCATTTTCTGCGTGCTGCAAAATACCACTCATGTAAGCGAATGGTGTTTGGCAGGTTGGGCATTCGAAGTTGAAGTTCGCATTCGAAGACTTGTACTGCTGTGCTTGGTAGCACTCGAAAGCTAGCTGGTTCATTCTCAACGTCCAGGAGCCCGGGGTGCTAGAGGACAAAGGGATCGTGAGACGTGTACACCAATGGCTATCTACCCCAAATAATACTGGATGGTTGTTGGTCTTTGATAACTACGACGACCCCGACCAGTTTCGGATTAACAACTCTTACCCTCCTGTTTCTCATGGAGTTATTGTGGTCACTACTCGACGGCCACATCTCGTTGCTGAGAGCACTCTTAACATAACGCCGTTGCGGAATATTGAGGATAGCCTAGCAATCCTACAGACCCGATCAGAACGAGAGAACATCCAGACAGGTATGCTATATCTAAATATATTTGGGATCTTCTAATCGCTACCGTTAGATCCTCATGCGAAGCATCTCGCAAAGCGACTTGCGGGTCTACCTCTCGCTTTAGCCACGGCTGGGACGTATCTTCAGCGTAGAAAAGGCTTTACTTTCAAACGCTACCTTCACGAGTACGAAAAACGCTGGAACATTGATCCCCGCCGGCCTACCAAGCTCAACGAGTATGAGGAGCGTACACTCTACACGACTTGTGATATATCATACGCTCGCCTAGAAAAGGAAGATCTGGACGCGGCGAAAATACTGAAGCTACTGGCCTACTTCGATAACCAGAGTCTTTGGTACGAGCTTTTTCATGCCGGACTCACCGATAGTTCTCCTGAGTGGCTTCATGAAATGATCACAGATGACGTGAATTTCAATGGAGTGATGGGAGTCCTGGCTGAATACTATTCCCTGGATACTCAACAGACTTCTGGGTCATGGAGCATGCATAACTGCGTGCACGACTGGACTTTAGCGGTACTTAGCAAGGACATTGATGCAAAGCATTACTGGAATGTTTTTGACTGCATTTTTGCGTCTGCAAAAGATGGCCACGAGGATGACTTTGCAAACCTCCCTTACTCCCCTTTGGCCGCTCATGCTACGCGACTAGCACAAGAGCGCTTGAGCACGAACAACGTTATATTTAATCTTACTTCTCGTCAATTTAACCCAGCCACACTGATTGCAAACCTACTTCGAGACCAAGAACTTCTTCTTGCTGCCGAGCAGATGTACCAGCGGGCGCTAGCTGGGTACGAGAAAGCGCTCGGACCAGAGCATACGTCGACTCTCCATACTCTCCACAATCTCGGGAGTCTATATCGGGACCAGGGCAAGCTGGACCAGGCGGAGCAGATATACCAGCGGGCGGGGCTAGAGAAGGAGACGAGGAATACTGCTACTTGCCTCTTACAATGACGATCTTAATTCAATATCTCTCGCGCTCGCGCTGTCCTCCCTGGTATTGTTTGACTCTATTCCTGACCTCAGAGATAAATACGCGGTAAGACTTAAATTTAGCACGACTCTACCTGACGTAATAGCCAATTTCTTCTGTCGTAAATCAGTTTATCATTCGTCATGATAGAGACAGCTCTCAGAATGATGACTGGCATGTGCCGCACAGGCGGAGAAGGAAAACCAACCGCACCGAGCAGATCAAGTTAGCAGGCGTCAAGCGGTCCACATGATTTGCAGAAACCCACCAGTTAGGGTCCATAGAATTCCACCGAATTCTCAGGAGGCATGTGTAATATCACGTCGGAAGATACATTACCATACAAGTTGCATAACTGCGTCCCTCAATTGAATATGAGCTGCTCAATGGATTGACTCGCGCTAAGGTCTTGGTGGTGGGGCCGAGAAAGATAGTCTCAGTGTGTACTGGTCAAAGCAATTTCGAGAATGACTGTAGACATATCCGAATGCAGTTCCTGTTCATGCCAAGACTTCATCAAGCCCCATCAACATGGCAGGCTTGAGGATCGCTCGCTTGCAAGGCTGAAACGACCCCGTTACAAAGGGCCTGAACAGCACGCTTTCGATCCCACAATACCAGTGCCTGTTCCTCACAAAGCTCCAGAAGAACGTCTCTGTCGCTTGTCAGCCACTCATTGAACTCCCGAAGCTGTCGCTGCTCATCCTCGAGTCGCAACTTTTCGGCAGATTTGACAACGTAGCATTCCCAAAGGCAAAAATACAAGTTGAGCTGTTTGAGTGCTGGGGAAGCGAGGGTACAGTATCATGGTCTTGTTGTATCTTCGTAAACTCTGTCGTAAGAGCACCGGATGCCACTGCGATCTGCAAAGTGTTAGTGTTCTTGTTCGTTTTCTGCCGAAGATGGCATGACTGACCTTGGGTTCAATGATCGTGCAGTTTGAAGATTCCTGTGGGTGGTGCTCCAAATTTGGTTCATCTTCTGCTCCTTGAGATTCCCGACACTGTCTCTTGGCTGCCCGGCCAATTGGGGAAGGCGAAGTCGGATGGTCCATCGTGACTGAAGAAATAGAATAAGGGAGATATTCTGCTTGAGAGCCTTTTTATGGACCAGGAAAGCCACACCAAGTTTGCTACAATTGCACTCATAGCCTCCTGGTTCTGACTTTAGAGACCATTTGGTTGTTTAGTAAACAATTATTTCAACCGTTGATGCTCGATTTCACTTGCCGTTCACTCAAACCCTCAAATATATGAGAAATTTCGTGACAGGTGGAGTATTAAAGCAGACATTACAAATGATATAAAACAAAGGGCATCTTTTTTTGGACTCTTAACGCATTGGATTCTATTGATGGAGTGAATTTGTTGAAGTTACTGGTGACGTTTTTGTGGTCACGAGCCATCTGAGAGTGGTGATGAGTGATAAAGGCAAAAATTGATAATGTCAACAGGGCAAAAGTTTTTGACTAGAGTCATGGACTTCTGTCTTGTTCCTAATGAGCATTTGAATGGCATGCTCACTACCAATCCTGAAAGTCTCCTTAAACTACCTTTAGTCGTCTCTACCCTACAAGCGCAAATAAAATTGGAACTTATCCTACAAATGTTATTTTCTCGTTTGCAAAGGCTTAAGCGAAAGCTTCGAAATTCTGTCAAGCTATTTTGTCCCGGTGGATCAAGACTTCTGCCGTATGTACCTGCCGCCTCATCTGAATCAGAACGCACACGACGATCAGCGGCCCCATCCCCAGAGTTGTCCCAACGAACATAAAATGCCGTGAAAAATGAATACTGTATCGACACCCCGATTGAATTGCAATCCATTGCCACGGAAATTTCTGAAACAGAGTCAGACTCAGCTATTCCTTCAACTCAGAACCTTACACAGAGAATACTGTACCAGGCTGGGAACGCCAGTCATAAAAGAAAAACCGTCTTGGGTGACCACTTCCTGCAAAATATGCGATAGTTGCGAGAGAACGTGACTAATCATAGGTCACGCACGAGGTAACGTTAATGTTATCACTTCTGGTTGGCTATATGTTTCGAGAGATCGTTTTTGCTAGGAAAATGTTTACCATTGGAGTTTCTCTGATTGTTGAGTTTATAGTACATTTGCCAACCAGTAGAGAATGTGTCTTCTGGACTTGAGACAGCCTTCACTTGCCGTCGGATCACCGCGATGGATTCCGGGTGTTAAATGAATGAATCGATCGAATTTAGCCAATCTTTGCTGGTGAGGAAGTCCAGTCAATGCCTCAAACATCTATCATATTTAGAACTCCGGGAACTTACGTGCTGTTGCTCAATAAAGCATCATCAGCGTTGATATTACTCTGTGAGAAAGCTCTAGAGCCTCTTTGGCCACGAAAAAACCACTTGCTCGGCCAATTCTATTGCTGTAGCTTTCGACGCGGCCAAAAATGACATGGTAGTTCTTCTTAAAGCGTCGATAGTGCATCTCGCTTCTGCATCTTCATATTTATAGCCAAAATTAACTAGGCAATCATTTTGCTCCTGAGAGTGACTTTGAAGTCCCAGGCTTCGGCTTAAAAGGGTTATCCCTGATCCAATTGTCGCGTTGTTTTATCTGCTGCGTGAAAGGCAACATACCGGATTTAAATTACAGTTTTGGAGATCAATACATTTTCTCTATTAGGAACTTAAGTATTGTACAAAGATGTGAGCTAGCCCTTATATGGAATGAAGGCAACAACCCCGTGTTTCAAACCGCTTGTGTGAAATTTACTTGTATATAGTAATACGATCTTGTGATGCAAGATAATGCAATTTACAAGAAATGGCTATACTATACGATACACATGCTATCTCTTTCTTTTCGCTCGTAAAGAACTTCTGTGCGATTTTCATTGATGTGGATCTATGAACTTGCTCCCTACACTTTTTACTTCGAAGAACTGTATTACTCGTGATTTTTCTGAAATCTGTGGAACTATTTAACCTGCTAGGATGCGGCGAAGAGCACATGTAATGCCACTTCGTCACTATGACGATGTTCACATGACGCTACTGATGATTCATCAAACGTTTTCGTGTTCTTTGCCTTAACTACTCCAGCTTTCTATTGAACAGTCTAGTGAGGACAATTTCGACACAAAGCACCATCACGCCGCTTGAGATACATTTATTCTAAAACGAGTCTATTTTAACCAGCAGCAATAATACAGAGCGATATCATCGTCATGTCCGATGCTTCTGAGCTGCCTCCCCTACTTGATGTTTTGATCGGCCTTCCAGTTGACCCACCTTCGCTATACTTCGACCTTGAGGGTGTCAATCTTGGACGGGCTGGCTCTATCTCTCTTCTACTACTTCACGTAATTCCTCGTTTCGCAACTTACATTATTGATATCCACGCGCTAGGTGCCGCAGCATTCTCCACTGAGAATAATACTGGTACCTCCTTGAAGACCATTCTTGAGAATCCTGATATTCCAAAGGGAATTTTTGACATTCGAAACGACTCGGACGCTCTATATAGCCATTACGGCATACGTGTGAATGGTATAATCGACCTTCAGCTGTTGGAGCTGGCGACACGTGATTACTCAAAGGATTTTCTAGCTGGGCTGGCCAAATGCATTCAAAACAATAAAAGCCTATCCGATTCTGCGAAGAAAACATGGCATCTGGCAAAAGAGATAGGCAAGCGACTTTTTGATCCTCAGCTTGGGGGCCGATATGAAGTTTTCAACGAGCGTCCATTAAAGCCGGAAATTCTAATATATTGCCGACAAGACGTGGAGCTATTGCCCTCACTGTGGGAGCTCTATAGCTGCAAGCTTCGCGTGCCTACCAATGGCTTCTGGCGATCCATGGTGAAAGAAGCAACAAAAGATCGGATCAAGCTTTCACGGAGCGCAGGCTACGATGGACAGGCCAAGAGCAAGGCTTGCGGGCCATGGGATTCGTACATCATTGAGGACTCGAGGGAAGCCTGGAACGACGATGTGATAATGTGCGGTGTCAATGAGGGCATGGTTCTGGACCAAAACGATCATTGGGCCGACTTCCCGCAGAAGGTGTGCAACAAAAGTTCTGTGTTTACCCTAGCAGCCAGGTTATGAATAATTAGTGTAGTAAGCAGTATCCAACACAACTTTTTTGGGATTCAATTTACCAATTACCTTCTAAGAGAAGTCATGATCTCTCCTTACATATTGAAGAGGGGATCCTAGAGGGAGACCCGAATCAGGGCTCTGGTAGTTTTCAGAGGCATTTTGTGTCTGTAGGAATAGATTCAACAACTAAATGAAAGGAAGTCAGAGAGACCTCGTTTAAAGGAATACTATTAAGAAATGAATCAAAGCTGCACGATCATGTCAAACTCAGATTCTGCGTGGCAATGTTCCTTTAAAGTTGGTCATATCACTTCCCCCGCAATATTCCAGACCCATAGAGTACCTGCCTTTTGAATGCAGCGTCCGACAATACTTTATGAGTCAGCAACGGGTCTTCGAGACAGATTGTTCAATTTAAAGGTGTACTTGACTATTCCTGTATTAGAAATTGTTTCAGAAAAAGAGACACTGATACACAAATAGGCATAGAGAAATGCAAAGGTATACGCCGTTATTCAAATCTTGGAAGCTATTTGATAATATATATATTGTTGTCCGGTTCCAAGTTGGGTGCCCGTCTTGACTACAATTCTATTCTTGCCATGGATGCCGTACAACATGCACAAGTTCAAATGGCTTCTCATACTACCATGACCCTCATTGGTCAAGAGTTCGAGCGCCTCAAGGAGATCGATGAGAACAAATCGAACAATGCAATCATGGATTATCTTGATAAAACAAACAATGAGATCCGAACAAGGGGCATATGCAACCCCAGAGGCCCATACCAGAAGTCGCTCATTCATTTCGCAGCGATGGGAGATTGCACCGCGCTTCTTCAAAACCTGCTGGACATTGGTGCTCCTGTTGGTGATCGGGATGAGAATAGACGCACACCCCTCTCCTGGGCTGCAGAGTATTGTTCCCTCCGCGCCATCAAAATTCTGCTGAAGAACGGAGCCAAAGTCAATTCTCGGGACGACGTTTATGCGTCACCTTTGTACTGGCTGGAGGAAGTCGGTGATCCTGGACACCAGAACTACGAAGCTAGCATATCATACCTCAAAAAGAATGGCGCAACTACGAAGGCCTCAAAAAGAGCATGGATCCTAAAAAAGCTGCGACTCATCTAAGGACAAGAGTGAGGCTACCAAGGTAACTTTCATGATCAGCCTCAAGGCGTCAGAATTGCAGATCACTGAAACGAGCCTTTTCCGAGAATCAAGGCCGCCAGAGCTCGTGGTTGGGAAAATGCTTGAAACAGTATAACTTCGGAGGGAGTTGTCACGTCATAGAACACGCGGAATTATGTTGCCACTGCTTTACGGCGGTTCAGAGAATGTTGTTGTTGCGTAAAATGAAATTCTTCAGCATCAAAGTCTAGATAACTGCTGATTGTTGCAGGTCTTCCATAGCCTTGTTGTAATCATGATATAGAGCATGAATGATTGTAGAGACCTTTTGAGTTCATAGATGAGATTTCGCTGATCGTGCTCAAGCAGCGATACTTTATCCTCAATTTGACAGATCATTGATAAAGTAAAAAGTGTAATTACCTAGAGCACTCGTAGATGTCCAAGCAAAGCTATTCGTGATCAGTAGCAATATGTACTGTAGATGATGCAAAGTAGACTCACAGTAGCGTCCAGAACGGAGATAAGAGACGAGTCTCGTGGATGACACATACAGTATCCGATGGAAGTCATTGTGTAGGCACCATTCGGGATGCCCACCGAGCAACAATGGTAGTGATGTTGTGAATAGGTGAAGCTGAGTCAGTTGAGAAACGTTGGCTCACTATTGAATTCAAGGTCTTCCAAAATGAGGCACTCGAAGTAACTTCATCTGTGGCTTTACCAAGAACGCTCACATTGCTTGGCCCTTTTTTTTTTTGCTTGAATCAACTTTGGAACTGGTGACTAGTGTTGAAGTATTTTGTGTTCTTATGGTTTCTATTCAGTGTTTTGAATTTTATTTGTCTACTGAATACATTTCTGAGTCCTCCAACGAACGTGACAAAAATTTTATGAAAGAATTTGGAACACCCCTGGTGATCAACTAGATGTGAATTATATTCACCCACCAACACAACGAGACTTGATTAGTAGTACTATTATCAAATAGAATGCCAAGTCTGTATCTCTTGTCTATAAAAAGAATCATGAATTGCTGGATGAGCTGATCCTCCGACACTCGACTTCCTCTAACGCACAAATGGATGCTCCGACCAGCACGCCAGCCCAGGAAAGAGAAGGACAACAACAGCAACCCATTGAATTGCCAGTCGTTTCTGAAAGACTCGATTCACAGGAAGCTTCTGATCATGCACCAACGGTAAGTGGAACAACTCAAGTCCGAATGCCTTTGCTGACCACCGCAGCCCTCTCTCTCGCAACAAGAAGCAGAAGTAAGACATGCTTTGGCTACCGAGCCATTTCAGCCTATTCTGAAGGTGATAGCAGACCTTGAACGCGACAACACGAAGTCCGCCTTTCCCGCAGCTCGACTGGTCGGTATCTATCGACGCCTATGGGAGTCATGCGTGTCCAAGCACATCGATAGCCAGAAGCTGGAGCTGAGCAATCGGATCTTGAAGGAGGATGGTAGGCAACTGAAAGAAAAGAGAGATGGTCTTCAGCTCCGCCACGACAAGCAGCTATCCCGGCTGCGCTTCTTTGAGCAGGCACTGCAATCATCCCGGGATCGACTGATTAGGGTACTCGATGACTGGAATCACCCTGCTAGTCTAAATCCAACAGGGCCGTCAAAAGTGGCAAGAGAAGAGTGAAGGATTGTATATTCTAGCTTGTCTGATATTATATGGCCTCAACGTAAGATAATACGACGACGTTGAAATTGAAAGTAGTTTGCTGCATGGAAAGCGCATTATATCTTCTAAGCGTTTATATAAGGTCATAGAATAGACTATATCCGCGGATGTTCCCGCACATCATGAGATTCTTCCCATTCAACCGAAAATATCATAATCAAATTACTGACCTGGCAACAGTGGACAGTGTAGCCAATGGAGGGGTGTCGATTGACCTACCGTCTCGCATTGCATATTAAGGGCCACAGTGCCTAAAGCAAAGTCTCCGGCTTGGACAGATTGCCAAACATTCTCGGAGACCGCTTCAACAATGTTTGACCAGTCTTGTGTCTTTCCATTTTGCTTCGAATGGCTTTTTGGACGTATTCATTGCTTGCCAGAACCAGAGATCTCTTCAAACTAAAGCCATTCAGTCCGGGATTGGCTAAAAGGGATTCAACAACCGAAAAATGTTCCCCCTTGACCGCCAACATCAATGGATCCTCGGTCCGCGAATTTCTGAGATTGACATCAATTCGATCATGGGCTAGAAGTACCTGGACCATCTCCACGTTGCCAACTCGGGCGGCCAAGCAAAGAGCAGTGTCGTGAGCTGCAATCGTGCTTTCATTGATGTTTAGACGTGCACCTTGTTGTACGAAGAGTCGTACCACATCGAGATGACCGTGTGCAACCGCTCGACAAATTGGCGGATCTATGGAGCCCCGTCCATTGATCTCTACACCTTGCACACTCAAAAGACAAGCAACCGTATTCACACGTCCGTGATACCCGGCCACGGAAATTGGAGTCTGGCCTGCAACGCAGAGATTCAGAGCGATCCCCGGTATTGCAAGTAGCCGTTGTAGGAGTACGGTGTCCAATCTGATTGCCGCGTGATGGAGAGACGTAGACGGCGTCTCGAATCTTCCGCGGCCGCCAACAAAATTCACGTTGATGTCTTTCTCCGCCAACAGCCTGTCGGTTATCTCGTCGCATGACAAGTAAGTCGACAGCCACAGTGGCGTATTGCCATTCTTGTCTTTGCAGTTCACGTTGGCACGGGGGTGACTGAGGAGTATATTGACCATCTCCAGGCGTCTGCTTTGAATGGCAAGATGGAGCGGCGGATAGCCTTTCCGGTCCTGGAGTTCCAAATTCAGACCCTTGTGTCTGAAAAGCTGTTTGACAGCTCCTACCGACCCATAGGACACTGCTTGGTGAAGAGGTAGCTCAGCATCTTGTGATGATTGTGTACCAAGATATGCCTCAGACTGCGGATCGTTTGACAATATCAGTTCCATCACGGGCCGATTGAAGCGACATGCCCAGTCCCATGGTGAATGGCCTGAATCGTCCCGTATATCAGGGTCGCTGCCACTCGAAAGTAGCAAATGCACGACCCCTATTCTGCCTGCCAAGACTGCTAGGTGGAGCGCCGTTCGGCCGTGTTTGTGCTTGACGTCCACTCTAGCATTGGGTTGTTCTAGAACGCGCTTGACGATGGAAAAGGTTCCGTATTGGAGAGCATACGACAAGGCGTTCTCCCGTGCGTGGTTTTGAATGTTGATGTCTAGGTCTTGCCGATTGAGTAGGAAGTCACGCACAGCAGCGGAAGAGTACTGGAGCGCCCGCATCAAAGAAGTTTTGCCGCGGTAGAATGCATTGATGTTGGCGTTATATTGGAGCAAAGCCTTGAAAAGGTGAACATTGTCGTCCTTGGTGGCCAGATGCAACAGATTGCTGTTCTGAAATTTGGCATTGTACTTCCAGATGCTGGGCTGCAGTCTGAAATTTAGGTCTGTGCATGAATTTGCGAGCGAGAATAATGCAGTGCCATCCAAATGCGACACAATCCACAGCAAAAGCTCGTTGGGCAGGTCTCTGATGTTTGGCTGTAATGTGTTAGCTTATCAGTAGACCCAGGAAGAGTCAATTGAGACAGACCATGATTGGACAGATTCAAGCTGGGAAGCATAGGAACTGCAGAGGAGGGTGTAGGGAGACACTCGAACACTGGATATAGCAGGCCTCTTTATACTGACCTTTACTCTCACCTAGGAGTGTAGCCTCTCACTCCGCCGAGAGGTGTGTAGCAACCACACGGCAGCATCAAAGCCTTGACAACAATGTTCAGGTGGTGTTAGAGAATCTGGAGTCTAGCTCCCGGGAACGCCAAATGCGTTCCTGGCAGTGT